AAACTGCATTAGAAATAAAATAAATAAAAACATTTATTTCACGGTATCTGTCACACTTTTTTTTTTATCAACCAATTGCTTTAACTGTGGATTTGAATTTATTGTTTCACAGTGATTGAATTTCATAAAAATATACACAGGTGAGTCAGTTACTAATGTACTATATTTCTTGTAAATTGAAATATTTGATTTTGCTTTTAATTATTAGAACTATTTAATCGATTAATTCCAATAAAAAGTGATAAAGGACGAAAAGAACATTAAACATTTATATAATAATTCTAAAAAATGCATAACCAATTTTTTCTCATTGTTACTCATTTAACTTAAGATTTTCCACTGGGTTTTTATTCAATTTTAACTTTGAAAAAAAGTGCTCTATAATTCTGTTTAAGTTACAAAAAAAAAAAAAAAATATAATAAAGGGTAAAAGTTGAGTACTTGTGACGAATAAAATAAAACATATACTATAAATATACTTTAATGTTAATATTTAAATATTTTGTATAATTTTTGGTGAAACATTGACCGTACGATCATAGATTTAAATGTTTTATTGTCAAGTACACAATTAAAAATATCAAATATATTTATATGATATACATTATACATATATATATATATATACAGTGCGATCACGATAAGTGGAAATACTCAATAACTTTGTGCAGGCTTCATATACTTCAATTCTGCTTTTTAGCTTTCTAATAAGCATTATTATATGTAAAATACACATTTTCAGATAATTAGACTATTTTTGTCAAAATTAATTTTGCGCATGCGCACAAAAAATAACATGCTGAATTTTAATTTTTCGTTTAATACACAATAATCGCATTAAACATCGTCGATTAGGTTATCAGTAAATACGATACTAATTATAAGTAGTAAACAGTTATCAATAGTATTTAATTGTGAATGACTTAAGTCTGCCATGTGATTTGTTTTTAATTTTTAAATTTTTATTTAAAATGTGGATACTAAAATAAATCTACGTAAACCTATTTATTTAATTGGAACTACTTCACATCAACTTACTGTATGCAAGTTAGATCGGTATTATTTTATAACATTCGATAAATTAAGTAAAGTTTACGCGAAAATACAAGGTTAATGGTTGACGAAGCATTAATATATTGGGAAAAAAAACACGAATATATACTAGAGAGGTTTATATTTGTGTACCACAATTAGAAAAATTGTACAATATATGGAAAAATTTGCAGAAAAACTTAAGTCGGCGAATAAATTAAAGAAAAATACTCAAATACTCAAATTAAAAATAAAAATGATGTATAATGTTTTGATGAGCTTTTCGATATTGATCATGCAGACGCATTAGATATAATGACTATTGTGACTTGGACAAACAATTTTTAATGATTCAGTGAAAAAAGGGTCGTCCAAGATCATTAATGGGTGTTGATTTGATTAGTCAAAAAAGAGAAATTAAACGCTCTAAAAATTTAGAAAATATGAAAATAAAAAAATAAAACTTAATGAAAATAAAATAAAATCTAATTGTAAGTATTTTATATTCTATATTTTTATAATTTATTGTAAAATGCTTTTAAGTAACATAAAATTACAGTTTAACTTTTAATTGAATATATGGATATTTTTGAGCTATATTCTACAAGCGATACAGATGACAGTTTTTACGAAGATGGAGAGTTACACCAACATTTTATCAACAGTTTTTCAATTCAGTTATTTCATAGGTTCAATATCAAAACTGATTTTTTTAAATGGAGGTCTTATATTATGGAATAAATATCAGAATTTCATATAAGGACTTACTTAATAGTTGTCAATGACGTGGCAGAACGAGGTGTAAAATTAATTAGTGATTATAACAATTTTATTACCAAAACGAAGACCAGAAACAATTTTTAATTCAGACCATTCATGATTACCGGCAAAGGTATCTTGATGAAAATAAAGATACCCTAAAAAGTAATTTTTAACTTCGCTATTTAATTTTGTAATATTTGTATATATTTTAATTGTTTATATTATTTATTTATGAAATGGTAGTATATAACTTGAATTAAAAATATGCATTATAATGTATGTAAAATATAGCACTTCACGATTATTTCTTATATCGTGTTAAATAATACAAGTTAAAAATAATGTAAAAATGAGTTTTTGTATTTTTTAGTTGAATGGTTCTTTTAACGAAATTAATATAAGTTACCCTTTTTATAGATAATTTAATTAAAAAATTTTGTTCTATGTGTTTTTTACCTATCACATATAATTTAGGCCAAAATTGAAAATTACGAAAATATTGAAAAAAGGATACTTTATGAACCTTAACCCCCTTGAGGGCCCTTTTAGGATTAACCAATTTTTATGAAACTTAACACAAGTTTTGAGGGTAGCCTAATAAAGTTAAAAAAAAAAAAATAAATAAGGACCACTCTAAAATATGTATATTTATATATATTAGTGATGGATCGAACTATTCGAATCTCGAACCGAACCAAACCCTTGATATTTCGATGATGTTCGATGATGCATGAAAAAAAATTGAACCGAACTATCAAGCATCTTTTACTGTTCGAAAATTGAACTTTAAAATATTTGTCGAAACAGACTTACTGACCACGATAGTTTGAAAACCAAATATATGTACAATTCTTCAAAAGTTATTTTTGAAAAATAAAAATTGATAATGATTATTTAGAAATAATTAGACTATTGGTGACAAAAATTGATAATCTGTAAAGGGCACGTTATGCATTATTTATAATAATAACGCTATTATTATAATAATAATGTTATTTTTCCAGTCGCATATTACAAATTCACCCTCCACCGACCAAAATATTAAAGGGTTGTTTATCGCTTATAGAGGCAGTGTATCTACATTCATAAATTAGCTCTGTTTGTTTTTATCATATTTATTTTAGATGTTAAAATCCATGGTAATATTCCAATACCGCGAGTGTGCATTTAATAAAAACATGTTTACAACTTTTTTTTTTTTTGTGTGATCTACTCTAAGGTTGGTTTTGCAGTTTTCCGAAATTTCTCCACTCATCTCTATTCTCAGCTAACCTCTTCAGCTCCTTATAGTTTGCTAGACCCGTATCAGAAATCATTCTTTTGATGTATGATGTTCTTGGTCGTCCTCGATTTCTTTTTCTGTTCATCTTCCCTTATATTATAATATATAGAAGCTCTTCTTCGTGTCTTAAGACATGACCAATCCTATTCCATCTTCTTTCTTTTATGGTGCTAAATATCTTCCTGGTTTAATTTATTTCGTTTAAAACATTTTCATTAGTTTTTCTTTCTGTCCAGCTATTTCGCAACATTCTTCTCCAGCACCACATCTCAAAACTTTCGAAGGAATTTTGTTCCGCTTTGTTCAGTACCCATGATTCGCATCCATAAAGTGCGACACTCCACACATATATTTTTATCAGTCGTTTTCTCATACTCATATTCATGTTTTTAGAGCACAGTAGGTTTCTTTTGTTCACAAATGCTGTCTTTTCTTGAGCAATTCTTGATTTTATTTCCATAGTACATTTTCCATCTTGGCTAATTATACTACCTAGATATCTAAAGCTTTTCATTTAGTAGGGAGTGTGATTCTCAATTTTAATTCTTAATCTATGAATACGATTCGTTTTTTGACACATCATTACCTTGGTTTTATTCTAGTTGATTTTAATGTGATTATTATGGAAACACTTTGCTATTTCTTCTAACACTCTCTTGAGATCGTTTTCGCTGCTTGCAACAAGAGCTATATCATTGGCGAATCTTATAAATGATACCAATTCTTCTCCTACTAACACTCCGATTTTTGTCTTGTGTTTCTTTAATTTTATTGATAAATTTCTTCCACATAAATATTGAATAACTTTGGTGACAGTAGACACCCTTGTTTTACCCCTTTTCTATTTTGGCTGTAGCAGACTTGTCTGATACTTTTATTATAGCTTTTGCTCTTTGTATTTGTTGTATATTAACCGTCCGTCTCTATAATCAATTCCTATTTTTTCTAGTGTCTTAAAAAGTTCTTTCTATGGAACTGTGTCAAATGCCTTTTCCAAATTAATAAATGCGATAAATGTATCGTTGTTAAATTCGATCTGTTTTTCAATTAATGTTCTTAAACTTAAAATCGCTTCTCTAGTTCTCTTGTTCCTTCTAAATCTGAATGGATCATTACTTAAAATATAAAAATAAATGCCTTTCAGTTTTATGTTCTATCCGGTTACCTACTATTTTTATGATAATTTTAGCCGAGTGTATCATCAGACTCAGAGTTCTATATTTATTACATTTTTCAGCCGTTGCTTTCTTGGGGAGAGTAATTATGTTTTTTTTTTTTAATTTTCTGGTGTTTCTCCAGTTATATAGATTTTATAAACTAAATTAAACAATTCGTTTTGAATTTTTGTACCTGCATTTTGAATCAGCTCTGTTGATATATTGTCTACGCCTGAGGCTTTTTTAGTTTTCATTCTCTGAAGGACTTGGTTGAATTCTTCTCTTAGGATTGGTGCGCCCTCATTATCTGGGTTATTTTCATTATTTATATTTGTTGTTTCTTCATCCTGGTACAGAACCTCAAGATATTGTTTCCATCTACTAGCAATGTCTTCGTTGTCTATTAGAAGATTTCCGTTTGTGTCTCTTATTATTAGCTTTTTTTTTTTTGTCACTGATGAATTCTTTATTGTATTGAACATTTGGTCCATTTTGCCTTCTTTTAATAATATTTCTACTTCATGACATCTATCTTCCAGACATTTCTCATTTCTTTTGCATTTATATTTTTTTTGTTTTTAAGTTCTTTATATTTTCTTATTCCCTGGTTGTCTTTTGAGTTTTTGTACTTTCTTCTTTCCTCAATATTTTTTAGAATAATTTCATTTATCCATGGTATTTTTCGATCTGACGTATTCCTTATGAGAGTCTTATTAGCTGCATTATGTATAGTTTCTTTGATTACTTCCCATCTTATATTTATTGAATCATTCATTTTGTGAGGGTACTTCGAATGTCTTACTGATACATGATTCATAGGCTACCGCTGTCTTATGATCTTCTAACATATTTATGTCATATCTTCTTTCTTTTTGTGTAGGCTTCTTCAATTTTTTATATGTAACATTATTTTTCATCATTAAGAGGTTATGGTTGCTGTTCACATCGGCGCCTGGGTAAGTTTTATATCTCTGGACTTGATTTCTGAAGCATTTTCTTACTAATATGTAATCGATTTGGTATCATCCAATGTCTCCTGGCATTTTTCACGTATACCTTTTTCTCCGATGAATGTTTTGGTATGTATTTGTTATGACCAAGTCATATTGTTTGTAGAAATCTACAAGTCGTTCTCCCTTTTCGTTTCTAGTGCCCAATCCATCAGCTCCTACTACTTGCCTATCAGCACCTTCACCTATTACAGCATTCCAATGCCCTATTATTATTAAGTTGTCACTTCTTTTTGCTAATTTACAGAGTTCTTCGAGTCTCGCATACATTTCTTCTATCTCGTTTTCCTCTGCTTCAGTTGTTGGGAAGTAAACTTGAATTACTACAATATCTCTGGGTTCAGCTTTATATTTAATCATTATAAGTCTGTCATTGTACGCTATCTTATTTATTACTTGTTTATTATAACTCCGACTCCGGCTCTTCTGGTTCTTTCACCTCCAGAGTAAATAACACGGTAATCATCAGACCAGAAATCTCCATTTCCTTCCCATTGTGTTTCACTCACGCCTAATATTTCTACGTCTTACCTTGTCATTTCAACTTTAATATTTTCCAACTTTCCAGTATTAACATAGTTCTCACGTTCCAAGTTCCGATGTTTTGTCAAGGTTTTCGCTTGCTGACGACCTGAGAAGCCTTGCTTCTTCTCCTGCCGAGACAACTGATATTTCCGAGTATATCTGGTCCAGTAACTTCCATCTCTTCATAACATTGGTTCATACTGCTTACTAGGAATTCTAATGTGGTGGTATCCTTCTCCTTCCACATCACAGTTAACAGGCCATTATTTGGAATATGCCCAAACTGCCTCTGTCAATCCTTCCGTTGCCGTTAGTTCAGCTGCAAAACTCGCCAATGGTCAGCAGTAGCAGTTACTGCTGCCCTCCGCTACCTCCTTTAAATCGCCTTTTACGATAAGCAGGAGTTACTGTAAGTCTATTCTAATCTCCGACCCCACAGGGGAAGTTAACAATTTACATCTTACATTATAATAAAAAATTATCTAAAATTTAAATTTATTGTAAATAATACAATTAATTTTACTTAAAAGTTAAAATGTAGAAAAGGTAATACGAAAACTTAAAATACAATAGTTATTTATAATTATGTATGATTTAATTTGTTGGTAGGTACAATGTACATAATAAAAAGTATTGAGTTCGAGTTCGAGTTTGACTTAAAATCATAATAGTTTCGGTTTGGTACGGTAGAAAATATGAAGGGTCGGTTCAGTTCGAGTTCGAAAAAATAATTTAAAGTTCGGTTCAAGTTCGGTTCGATTTAAAAAATCAAGGTTCGTCCCCCACTAATATTTATAACATATAATATATATGTTACCGTCACTGATGTTAATTATGTACTCGTAATAATGTCAATGCCTAGGCATTAACTAATAACGTAGGCAATTTTATAAAAATAAAATATTTTGTTAACATATTTACGTCTATGACTAGGAAATCACCTTAATATCTAAAACTGATATAAATGTTGATAATTTTTTTTATCGATATATTTAAAGTAAGTAAGAAATTTAAAAACATAATATAAATTATTATTTTTTACAAGCAAATCTGTTAATTTCACATCCTGCTTCTCAAAAACATCTTATATAAGTTTGTGGTTCCACGATTCTATAGCCAGTATAAGTCTCACGAACATGTAATGAATTCAACTCTTTGTACGTTAAAGGTTAATATTCATAAACTTTTTATTTTGTTCACAAGTAAATTATACTTAGATATTGTTTTACAAAATAATATTACAAGCAAATATACATATATATATATATATATATAACATAAGAAGACGACATGGACACAGATATAAATATGGGGGTACTCACACGTAATCGTGTGTTAATATGATGTGGACGATGGTCGAGACGGCGGCGACTCGGAGCGACGGTGGCTATCCGTATTGGCGGCGGCGGCGACTTATAGTTGGGGCAGCGACAACTCGTAATGGCGGCGGCAACTCGTAGCAGCAGCAGTTATCTGTAGTGGCGGTAGCGACTTGAAGTTGTGGACGAGTGACAGTATTACTAAATGCAGTCCACGCATGCACTAGTCGCTATTTAAATCCACTAACTCCGAGTGACCTAATATTAACTCCAACAAGTTGGTGCCTGTAATATTCGAAACGCTTCAGTGCCAGGAGTGGATCTTAGTAGTACTCGTAGACTAAGTTTACGGAAGTACATATAGCTTAATACGTGCCACGGAATGTGTCGTGCTGTTGTTTTTGACGTGGTTATCTGTCCTCATGCGGTTGTTGTCCTTATGTAGCTTTGTTACGTGCCACCGGCTCGATTTCAAGTGTTGCAAGTCAAAGATGTATTTAATTTAAATAAACATGAGACTTTTAATACATTTAATACATTTATTTTAATACTCAAAGTGTTAACAAAAATTCTGATACAAAGTGACGTGTAGTGTAGTAGCTTGTAGTTCCGTGACTAGAACTCATCTGAATTGTGGTCATTTTGATCCCTCTTTTATATAACTCGATTGACGTCATTGGACTTGTTGTTTCGGCATTATTCCTTATTTAGCAATAGGCCACGTTCGTTTGATTTACTTTATTATTTTATAGATTACATATTTTAATATATATATATTACTGGTTTATGGCCAACCTATTAAATGTAGGTGTTTATAGGAATATATATATTAATCTTATAATATTTTAAATTAATGATTAATGATTATAGATAATCTATGATCAAATATAGGTGTGTAACACCTGTGATATTGTGTTACGCATAATTCTATTTATACATGTTTTTGTGGTAGCCCATAACAGCTTAATGAAATGCGGTTACATCGTTTAAACGTTAAACTGACATCCGAAATTGCAATCGATGCCCCAACTGAAATTTTTACCTATCGGTACGGCGATAAAAATAGCGAAACGCATTATTGTTCACGATAGGCGATAAAAACATGCTCAATTATTCATTACTCGAGTGAGTATGAATAAGGTAGTTGAACGACGCGCTCTGTTGTCGAAAACATGCTTGATCATTCGCTAAATGCCCTTATTCGTCGCGTGCGTAACCGGTTGGATCACTGCGGTTGGGATATAATATAGGGTTAATATTGCTAATAAATGGCGGTATATGTCGTTTAAAAACGATAACTTATTTTACTTTAATATATTGTTTTTTCAACGCATCGTCGTTTCTTATTCAATAAATAAATTATTTATTTAACATTTTAATCAATCATGTTTGAAACAGCTCGGAATTATCGTCATTACCTAAGCAACATTTCTAAATACATCGTGTCTGTAAATAATGACTATTTATGTTACTTCCTATTCAATATCATATACTGTCTAATTTAATCGAAAATTTCATTATTGGCTAGGTATTTATGTTCATTCCTTTGTTCATTTATCTGTCGGTAATATATATATATATATATAATCGTTTTACGATTATTTTTTAATGCTTGTTTATTATTATTTATTATAAATATATTACATAAGATTTTTTTTTAAATATTTTTTAACAAATGTTGCAAATAAAATATAACTACAGATATGTAATTTATTTTTTTTAACGATATACAAATCTTGTAAACGTAGTTATAAAATAATAATTAACATTTTTTAAAATTATTTAGTTTCGTATATATTTATGTATATGTATATACTTTATTTGACTTGAAAGCGAAGCACAACAATAACGCATTATATTTTACATCGATATACAGAAAAATAGGACTTTAAAAATATGAACTTACACATACCACAAAACTGAACAAAAATAATGCACTTGAAGTACTTGCAATGATTAATTAATATAACTTTATAGCTTTTTTTAATTATTTTAAGTAATCAATGATACGTATTATATTCATTATAGTTATTACATAAGTATTATTTATAATCATTATATAATACTAAAATAATCATACAGGCGATAAAATTATTGATTATGTAATAAGTACATTTAGTTTTCCCTTATGAAATAAGATGGATTTTGTTTAATGTATCATACAATACTTCAATTCAATTAGTTGTCCTCTGTATTTTCAAAACATAAAAATATAATGAATACCAACGAATAATCATATTACATTATACTAACAGAAAAAACGGTTTGTGGTATGATGAAATACGATTAAAATTAACAAATGTCATTGAAAATTGTTTAATACAGATGACATAAGGAATTATCCGAATCGTTTTATAAATCTTCTATAAAAACAAACAAAACCTTGTTTAGAGACAGAGATGCTCACAGTCCTATAGATCTACAACATTGTTATATTATATCGTTTTATTTTTTATTTGAAATGTTTGATCATCATTAATACATAATTTTGTCATGTTCAAGTCAAATTACAGCTTATTCGTAAAATTATTTAAATATAAATTACTTTATTGCATGGACTTTTCTATTTTAATTTTAGAATATTTTACTGGAAAAATTTATTTTTCCAATTTTGTTAATGTTTATTACAGACAAACTGTAACAACATTATTTATTTTGAGCAAACAATTAGTTATTTTCTTCTTTATTGTTTCCGATTTTTCGATAATAGCACATTATTAAGAAAAAAAATGCATCTCAGTATATTCAGTTTAAAAATGTAATTAAAATCAATTTCATCAGACAATATTTATTTGCATGTATTTTTATGGGCCAAGAATAGGTAACAGTTCTTACTTTATTACTTAACCATTTATAAAAATCCTTTCATTTGTTAAATATTTTATATTTATATCTAATTTATCATAAAACATAATTATTTTCATAAAAACAGCGATTTATATTATTATACATAACTATTTTTAACATTTTCTTAAAATAACAATTTACTTGCAAATAAATTATTTATGGTAAGCAATACAATTTACTTAGTTTTTTTATTAACTCCACAGTCTTCTTTTAGTGTTGTTATATTTATATTATTTTCGTACAATTATAATCATATAAAATTATATAAACAAAAATTTCTTCAAGGTTTATAACATATATACATAAAATGATTGTATTAAAATATCAAAATTACTAAGAAAAAAAAACATTTATATGAGACTGCTAACGTTAAGAATGTAAGCAATATAAACTATTTGTAACACTATAGCAGATACTTAGGTACTAGGATTATTCTATGGTGCGAAAGAACAGTGAAACTTTTAAAAATTGATAACTTTAGACAGACGGGAATCTTTAATTTAATTTGTTTTCATAAAATTTACTAGGAAATTGAATAATGGGAAAATAAATGTTATTTACGGACATTTTAATGTTATGTTAACAATTATATACCATAGTGATCAGATTATATTCTTGTAATTTAAATGCAATACAAATAAATCAACTTTGTTGTATTTATTTATTTCA